TTAGTCAATATTTTATGATTTTTTTTAATATTGCAATCTTTAATCAAGCTACTACTTTTTTTCCAAAATGATTACTTATTGGCCTAATAATATTTACTAAATAACCAATTCTTTCCCTACTGATCTGAAACAACACTTCTATCACATATAAAACACTGTCTTATATAAATTTGTAAGCACACTTAAATTTTCTCTATTCTTTCATTGATCTAATTAACCATTCAGACATAAGCTTGTTCTTTCAAATATTTTTATAGTATGTTTTATTATATGGCATAAAAAAACAAATCCACCTGCTGTTCAGTCCATTCCAACTCACAGCGCCCCTACAGGACAGAGTGGAACTGCCCCAGAGGGTTTCCAAGGCTGTCAATCTTTACAGAAGCAAAGCCCAAACCACACCCACTGCCGTGGAGTCGATGCTGACTCACAGCGCCCCTAGAGGACAGAGTGGAACCACCCCAGAGGGTTTCCAAGGCTGTCAATCTTTATGGACACAAAGCCCAAACCAAGCGCACTTCCACTGGCCAGTCAATTCTGACTCACTGATTCACAGCGCCCCTAGAGAACAGAGCAGAACTGCCCCAGAGTCTATAATCCAAGGCTATAACCATCACAGAAGCAGACTATCAAATCTTTTTCCCACATCATCTGACATAAGTACCTTTTTAGTATTTTTCTTTGCCAGAGTTTTCCTGCCTATCTTTGTATATTCACCCTTAATGACTTCAAACCCATTTTGCTAAGCAATAAACAGACAAAAAAATCTTCTTAACACATAGATTGGATAGCATCAAAGTCACAGGCCAGTAGGAAACACTATTAAGCTTCCTTTCCTAAGAATACAGCATGCTCCTCTCTGTGTTTAAGTCACCTTTCACTTTGCCCAGTCACATGTGTACATGTGTGTGTGTGTGCATACATGTGTGTATGCCTGTGTGTGTTAAATTCCTGCATTCTCTGACTTCCTAAGATTATGCCAAAGTGGATCACAGTTTTTGCTGTGGCTGGGATATTCCCCCCATTTTCTGGTGAGTGTGTTTGTTATATTCTTTGCATTCAGAGAAACTCTCAACGGTTCTGGAAAACCCCACGTCAAATGGGTTCCTTTAAGGCTGGACTTCTCAGAGACTCTCAAAAAAAACCAAACTCACTACCATCGAGTCGATTCCAACTCATAGCGACCCTCTTGGGTTTCCAAGGTGGTGAATCTTTACAGAAGCAGACTGGCCAGTCTTCCTTATGCAGAGTGGCTGGTGAGTCTGAACCACCAACCTTTTGGTTAGCAGTTAAATGCCTTAGGCACTACACCACCAGAGCCCCTCTCAGAGACTCTAATACACTATAATTTTCTCTGAGGACAAATTTTCAAACTTACTGACCAATGGGACCCTTTCCAGAAACACTTCTGAATACTGCATCAAGGAAATATGTCAAGGAATGCAGCTTGGGAAAGACTCAGAATAGGGTGGAGGTCTAAAGTAAACTCACGGCCCTTGAGTTGATTCCAACTCATGGCAACCAGGTAGGACAGAACAGAACTGCCTTACAGAGTTTTCAAAGCTGTCAGTCTTAAGGGAAGCAAAGCCCAAACCACACCTGACTCACAGCACCCCTAGAAGACAGGCTGGAACTGCCCCATAGAGTTTCCAAGGGGGTAAATCCTTACAGAAGCAGACTGCCTCTTCTTTCTTCCACAGAGTGGCTGGCGGGTTCAAGCTGCTGATCTTTTGCTTAGCAGCTGAGCACTTTAACCACTGTGCCACCAGGGCTCCTAGATGGAGGTGTAATCCCCTAAGATCATTTTCCTATTCATTAACCTGTTGTGGCAGTGTAACTTACTGAATCTATGATCCTTTTTTTTAGCCACTGTCTCGTTGTCGTTATGTGCCGTCGAGTTGGACCCGACTCATAGCGACCCCTCCTTGGGTTTCCGAGGCAGTATCACTACAGAAGTAGATTGCCCCATCTTCCTTCCGAGGAGTGGCTGGTGGGTTTGAACTGCCAGCCTTGTGGTTAGCAGTCAAGTGTCTTAGCCACTATGCTTACCAGAGCCACTGTCTTATAAGATATTATATGCAAAGTTCTAACACATAGTTCTTTCTGGGTCCAGCCATGGCTCTTGATGATGCCAATGTCATGGGATTTTAATAAATAGTCCTTCAAATTATTGTCTCCTCCTCCTTCCAACGTAGTGCCTAAAGCATTTGACTGCTAACCAGAAGGCTGGCACTTCAAACCCACCAGCCACTCCTCAAAAGGAAGGTTGGGCAATCTACTTCCGTAGTGATACTGCCTCGGAAACCCAAGGAGGGGTCACTATGAGCAGGAATCAGCTCGATGGCAGTTAGTTTTGGGTTTGTTTGGGTTTTTTTACCCCTTTCCAAGATGCTTTTCCTTTTATAAAATTAATATTCTACTTAGCTTATTTTTCTGAATGTTTTTTAGAATCACTGTTATTTAAAAACTCCTACTGGCCTTTTCAGTAACATCCAGAAATATGGCACGAAGCCATTACTACAAGTCCTCTGTAACTAAATGGTCTGCTGTTACACTGCAATTCTCAGATATTACATCTGAAAAAGTCAATCATCAGTCAAATCAGGTTATAAGTAACCTTACTGTTTATAGCATCTTTTGTGGTTACTTAAAAGTCAGTACTCCAAAACCCAAAAACTTACTGCCATGGAGTCAATTCTGATCCATAGCAACCCCCTTTGGGTTCCCGAGGTGGTAAATCTCTACAGAAGTAGATTGCCCAGTCTTCCTTCTGTGGAGTGGCTGGTGGGTTTAAACTGCCAACTGCGCTACCAGAGCTCCTTGTACTAGGTGAGTAGAAATCTGGCACAGTTGGCAGGCATTCACCTTCTACTTGCTTTACTCATAAAGGTAATATTTTCATATTTCATTATAAAATTATAATGACAACAAACTACCCTGAGAACACAGCTAGGTCTACCAGTGTCCTGAGCGGCACGATTGAAGTGAAACAAGTCACTCCTCCAAGACTGAGTCTAGTCATGTGACTTTTCTAGATGGTGCCCCTACCTTACAGCAATAGCAAGATTCTATTACTAACTAAGGAGGCCTGGTGGCTCAGTGGTTAAGCACCCAGCTTTAACCAAAAGGTCGGTGGTTTGAACTCACCAGCTGCTCCGTGGAGAAAGATGAGGCAGTTTGAGTCCATAAAGATGACAGCCAAGGAAACCCTGTGGGCAGTTCCCCTCCGCTCTTCAGGGGTGCTGTGAGCCAGAATAGACTCCATGGCAGTGGGCATAGTGTGCCTTGTAGGATATGAGTAAACCTACCTGTGTTCTCAGAAAAGTTTGTTTTCATTATAATTTTATAATGAAATATTAAAATATTACCTTTATGAGT